AACATGCTTTCATTATTTGAGTTCCATTCAATGTGATCTGTGATTTCCCTTCCCCTCCCGTTTCGCAGGCCTGGATTTTCTGGTCCCCGTCGCAGGTTACCTCTGCAGGCTGTGTCACAAATTCTACCATAGCGACTCTGCTGCCCGGCTCGCACACTGCAAGTCCCTGATGCATTTTGAGAACTTTCAGGTTAGACCCTTTGGCGATTGCATGGCCTGGCATTTGTTCCCCCCGTGCGTGTCTCTTCAGTGAATCCACCACATTAGCTGTCTTGTCTTCAGTTCATTTCCATCATCCTTGGTGTCCACTGTGCCATAGCTTTCTCCTGGTGTGCTCTGTGTTTGTCTCCCATCACCCCGTAGATCTAAAACCAGCCTAGTCCTGCTTCCCAGCTATTGCTGCTGTCATCTTACTGCCTATTTCTGGCTGGAAATCTTCCTCAGAGTGTCTGCTCTGTTTGCTGAACCTGTGGAGTCTATTGTTCAGTCTAGGCCTCTTCTCTGTTAGACAGATTACAGGTTGGGCAAGATGGGGAAAGAACAAGAGACAGAGGCTGTTCCTATTAAAGAAAGCTTGTACATACACATCTTCTCATGTGATGCTACAGGAACAGCTCCTTTAGCCAAAATTGTGGGTGTGATTCATCCATGAAGGGTCCTGGTAAAATCATACATTCAACTTAGAAATCTGGAAATTTTACATTACAAACTCTTTTATGTGATGCGACCTACCAGCTGGTGAGAGTCCACTTGGTCCCCAGGGTCAGCCTGCAACAGGAAGTCTGTCTGTCTGTCTGCTACCCTTCCCTAGAAACTCCTTAGCACAAAGCTCTGCCAACTGATGCTGTTCCTTTGCTTTACTGGCTCCACCTAAAGAAGCCATATTGCCCCTTGCTGCTTTCATACCTAGAAGCTTTTCCTCCTGGGCTGGCCTGGAATCTGCCTCCATCGTTCTGTCCTTGTTGACTTGCCAGGGGTGAGGGGCCTGGATTAGCACCTTGTGATGGGTACACAGGGCTTGCACTGTCTCTGCCCTCTCCCATGCCCAGTGCCTGGGCTCTGCCTGTGCAGGAGAGGGGTACTCCTTGACCTGGGTGAGGAGGGAGGCTGACTCCATCCTCTGCCTGCACCCACAGCCTGCTCCAGCAAAAGCTGCTGTGCTTCCCTGCCAGCTTTTGATAACGTTCGGCAAATGAACAAACTAAAAACCACAACCAAACACACAGACAAACCCCCCAAACTTTCTGTTTTTCTTCTAGCCTTCAGGCAGGTTAACTGTTTCTAGTCAACTGTCACTGGCTCCAGCAAGGGGTGGGGTGCTGCAGAAGCCAGCACTTAGAGCAGTGAATTTGGAATGGCAAGTAGCAGAAGACCACAGCTGTTCCTTCATGGTTGCTCATCCTCTCCCACTCCTGCAGCTAGTCATTTCAGGAATGAAGGAATTGGCCTTGTAGTTTTCCTGGCTTATTGTAGATCAGCTTAGAGTGAAACTGCAGCAGCAGGGTGTATCCCTCCCTTTTGGCACACTTAGAGTTGAAATCAGACATTCTTCAAACCTGGAGGCATTTAATTATTTATCACAGGAGTCCAACCTTAAATATCTGCAGGCAGATAACTATTACTATTGACTGCCTAGGTGCCTTGGGGTTGTTGCAGTCTGAGTTAAATCCTTGCCAGTTTCTAGCATACTCAGATCCATCAGAATAGCTCAGCACAGGGTTTCAAAGCAAAGAATTGCCTGCTGGTGAGGCAGTTCAGTTTCACTCTAAAAACATTGCCATGCTTGCACCTGGTTTAGTTTGAATGAATTAGGACTTGACTGATCTAGTTCCAGTGTGCTGGAATATTGGGTGTATTCCATGATTTGAGGAGAGAGAAAGGACAGGCCTGCAATGACAAACTGAAGGACAATGTAAAGCCACCTGTCTGATGTGCTGTGACTCCACACTGCAGACCACAGCAGCGCTGTGTGTGGCGGTGGTGAAAGGCAGTGTACTGAAACCAGTTTCCTCCAGTTGTCAGGTCTAAGGCTAGTGGCAGTTCAAGGGACCTGTTAGCAGAAAGCTGAAGGTGAGTTGATTGTGGAGGGAACTGCTGTGGAAAAGAGGGAGCTTTGTTTTCTTCCTTTAGCTCATGTTCTGTCTGGGTCTTGAGGACCAGATTCC